GTCCAAAGTAGGGAAAGCGTGGAACTGAAACCCTCCAACGTCTCCCACGTGGGTTCCGAGGGACGACACGTAGTTGACCATCTTGGTGATTCTTCCGATGTTGTTATTGGAAGAGCACAAAAACTGAATCAGGCACTCCAAAGGGTCTTGCCGGAGAACTCGTGCACCGCTTAAGTGGCCGGCGAGTTCGGCGAACCTCGCATCGGAAGCGGAAAAAGCGTTCCACAAGTCAGCGAGAGAAACGGTGGCGTTTAGGAAATCGAGCAAGGCCGTTCTGGCGTTGTCGGAGTGGGAGTGGGAGCGGGAGTGGAGGCAGTAGGAAACGTCGCCGTTTTGAAGGTGCTTGAGGGATACGAGGTGGGAGGCAACGACGCCGGTGTATTGAGAAGGGGCAGTGTTTTTCCAGCGGAAGGTTTGGCCCGTGGGGAAGGTGAGGGGCAAGGAGAGTTCGTCCTTGGGGAGATTGAGAGGGGCCCAGGATTGGGCTTGGGCTTTTGCAGTGTTGATGGAGTGGCGGGCTTGGGTTTGTGGAGTTGGAGGCGTCGAGGGAGGTGGCGGTAGCGGTAGCGGTTTTGGGGTTCTTTTTCTCTTCTTCATGGCCGCGGAAGGGACGTGGATGGCTCTCAAATGCAAGGAGCTCATGTCAGGGAGGACATCGTTATTCGTTACGGGTCGGGCGATGAGTCCTGCCTGACTATTGAAGTTCAACGGATACATGGATGAAATAAAAAAATTAACGGATATAAATTCTAACCTTGTTCAAAGATCATTTTCTTTCCAACAAAAATCTTGAAAATAAATAAATTGTTTATAGATCAAGGTTAGGATGATCTTACTAAAGTCATATACCATGATTAAAATTTACAATGATAAGAACCCATACATGTAGTAATAAATACTTGAAAGATTAACATTAGCTACATAAAACTCTTCCATCGAAAAACGTCATTTTTGCAAATACTAATAAACCAATTTATTTTTTAGTAAAAAAAATTAGATTAGGTCAAAATAAGGGTCAATCATCAATTTCTTTAAAGATTTTTTTTTAAGTAAAATTACGAATTACCTATTTCATTTTTAACACAAATACATATATAAGGGTATAAAATATAAAAGAGGTCAAAAGAATTCATTAGTTGTCATTTTCACAAGACTATATACTAGATTTTATATTCGTCTATAATACGAATATAAATTATTTGTTAATGAATATTAAAGTGTTAAATAAATACTGTATAAATGTTGTATAATATTGAAAAAACATATAAATGAATGATTTATTTTACATGAATATGTTTAAATTAGGTGAATAAAATTTCCTTCAATTTTAATTAAAAATAGTTAATATTATTTTTTTTTAATTTTTTTAAATAAAAAAAAAAATCATTATAATTTTATTAAATTATGTTCTCGGAGATGAAATAGATTATGTTAAAAGATAAATATCTTGCTCAAAGTCTTTAACAAAGATTAATCACTATTTTTGATAATAAATACTTCATATTAATATCATAATTAAGAAAAATCATTATAATTCAATATAAATAATAAATAAAAAAAAGTCATTATAAATAAAATCTCAATTAAATAAATGATATCATAAAATGAAATTAGGTAAAGTTTATTTATATATCTTAGTTAATAAAACATGATCTTACATGACTTGGTGATAAGAAGTTTTAGATAGAATAGATAAGTACGTGTTTTAACTTTGTTTCTGTCATTAAAAGAACTAAAAAAAATGATGTATTTTTCTGTTATTTTAAAAAGTAAAAAATAAATAAATAATGGAATGTGTGCAATTAATTTTATTATGGAATAGTTACAAATATTAGCTTTTTTATACTCCAAGTTACAAATATTAGTTAAAGGATAAAAAAGTGAGAACACTGAAACAATCTATCCCCCTATTAAAAGTTATATGCAGACCACATGACGTAGACCTGATATGAGTTTTGAAGTTCCCGACACTGTTTAACATGCAGCAACTTACAGTGTAATGCAAAGTGTTTTGCAAAAATGTCGATGGAAAACTGTCACCAAATATTTTGAACCAGTCAAACTAAATGCAACAGGCATACAAATAGCTTATCAAGCAACGATACAAATGATGCATCAAGATTTTAATTATTTTGATTGCCATTGTTAGCAAAATCATTTATTGTATAAATATATAACTTGTCGATTCCAGGAAAAGAGTAAGAAAATAAATTATGAGAAAAAAGGTGACATAATTGCTAAACACAGCAGTTATTTAATTGTAGAAAGCATAATTTCAACTGAGTTAAAACTAAAAAGTTAAAAAAGTTATTGTTGAATTTTAAATAAAGGGTGCAATACAGAGTTGAATTGCAGCTAAACTTAAATTCAAAAATTGCATTGAATTCTATCTGGTATGACGGAATGGAATTGAGACTCGAGAGGAAAGGACTGCTTATACTCAAAATATTTGTGTGCAAACACAGTAAAATTGTTCCGTTATATATTCACTTTATCTGCAGCGGCGTCAATTTTGTACTTGGGAATGTGCTATGCTAGTGTCTAATTGCTTGTGGCCATTTACTTGAGTGCAAAATACCCACGCTGGATGAATTCTTCAAAATCCAAGTCTACATAAAGCAAGTTAACAATGGACACCAAATCTAATTGCGATACATAAATGCATGAGTTTTTTTTCTTCTATATAGCAGAATAATTGATCCTTCCAATATGCTGACTATCCTATATCTAGCTCTCGTAAGCAAATCCTTCTGGCATGTTACTAAAAGCTTTCATTGCATTGCTGACTACATCAAGAAGTTGCAAGTATTCATCAGCACCATCAACTAAGCACTGCAAGTCCATAAGCAACAAGTGAGAATTCTACCCAGAATAGGCAAATGCAATTCGGTATATTCTTTAATGTTCGTACAAGTCACAATACCAACAGAAAATAATAATAATAATAATAATAATAATGTAATGAACAAGAGCAGTAAACGGGAAGAGAGGGAGAAGCATATTAATTCCTTTAGAGTCATAAGTAACCTTATCAGCTTCACCCAGCTTTTTGGATATTCTTGCTTTCTGTTCATCTGATATGTCATTTTCTTCCACAATGGCCTCTAATAACTGGGGAAAATTAGAGAAAAAAGAAAAACTCAGTAACATAGTAGAAGTCTTAATGAAACTGACCCAATGAAACAGAAACAGGCAAAAGCAAGACCTGAGTAAGCATCTGAGAAGCTGGATATCCCTCTGCAACAAAATTGTTGACTTCCTTGTTTGCCAAATCAAAGTTACCACTTTTGCAAGCTTTAAGAAGTGCCTCCACAGCCTTTGCTGGAATAACCTGATATTTTGAGATTTTGGAATGTCAGGACAAACAGGAAGGGGGGAAAAGATGCGATCCTCTGTTACAAAGTTACCAGAAAAGATGTCACAAGAAACATAACAATTTGAATTGAAAATTAGTTAATGTTGCAAAAAAGCTTGATTAGAAAACCAATTCAAGGAGTAGATGCAATGTTGACTTTCAATGCTTCACAAAATGGCATTTAGACTGCAATTTTGTGAACTTATATATCAAGGCACCACACTATTAGAACCAGTGAAAAACCTTTAAACCATATAGTTACAAAAGCCAGGGTGAAAATCACGTTAGATAAGAATAAAACCAAAACTGCAATTCAAAATCCTTGTCCTTCAACTAATAATTATGTCAATGCTCAAGTACAACGTGAATTATCAAGACATTCAAACACCAATAATAATAATGTTATAAACAACTTTAAAAGTATGTCATTGTTTCCTTTGAAAATAAAACAGCACAACCACAGGAAATTATTGCCACAACCTACCCCAGACACAGAAATCAGATTCTCTGAAGAAATTGAAGATCCAAATAAGCGTGCAGCAGACTGCAATGTTAATACCAAGTTAGTTCAAAAAATAAACAGCATGTACATACAATGTGTTACAGATATTGTACAGATATTGTTGGATACATATATTATCCTCACTATCAATTAGGGATATGATTAGATTTTTTTTTTCCCTCTTTTTCTTCTTGCAGGGGCCTTCACCGACCGCCGCCGCCCACCGGCCGCCACCGCCGCCGACCGCCGCTGCCGCCGTTCGCCGCCGCCGTAGATTTTCGCCGCCGCCAATCGTTGCCACTTATATTCGTCTTTCATGGCTGGTTTTACTTCAACTACGACATTTACCAACATTCCTCCGATTCCGTGTGAAAAGTTGACCGGAGCAGCCAATTATACCACTTGGGCAGCTGCGGTTCAGCTTTGGTTCCGTGGTCAAGGACGTGCCGACCACTTAACCACTCATTTTTCTGAGATTGCTACCGATCACCGTGAGCAGTGGCAACAAATTGATGCCTCGCTGTGTACGGTTCTTTGGTTTTCTATTGCTCCGAACCTTCAACATTCTTATCAAGCATTTGACACATGTTACGATGTTTGGCACAAGGCCAAGAAAGTTTACGCTAATAATGTTCAACGTCTTTACAACGTCATCACCACTATGATGACCACTAAGCTTGAGAATAGGGACATACAGACATATTTGAGTAAGCTTGACCGTCTGATTGCTGATTACAATAATTTAATGCCTTACCCCTCTGATGTGGCGAGCTTTGAGAAACAGCGAAACCAATTCTTCATGATTCTTGCACTTGCTGGTCTTCCTCCTGAGCTTGAGTCAGTCCGTAATCAGATTTTGTCTGCCCCTATTATTCCTACATACGACATTGTTAGTGAACAATTGTTGCGTCTCTCCATCTCTCATACTGTTGCTACTCCTTCTGCAACTGCTACAGACTCCTCTGCTCTTGTTTCTCACTCATCTAATCGTGGTAATGGACGTAACGAAGGTCGTGGAAAACAGAAGCCTCGTTGCAATTATTGCCACCTCTTTGGTCATCTTGAAGTCAACTGTCGCAAAAAGGCCCGAGAACAGTCATCATCAGTGAATGTTGCTCATGTGCCTAATACTACCTCCTCTGCCGACTCTTCCTCTCTTATAGATGTCACTATTTCTGCCTCTGAGTATCAAGATCTTCTTCAGCTTCGAGCAACTCAACAATCTGCCTCGCCTGCCACTACAGTGGCTCACTCTGGTAATCCTGTGGCCTTTATGTCTCAATCTCCTTCTCTTGGACCTTGGATTCTTGACTCTAGTGCATCTGATCATATCTATTTTAATAAAATATATCAAATAAAAAGAAGAAATTATCGATTGATTTATTAAATAGTTTTAATTTATAGAAAATAAGGCATTTAGTTTTTTTCATGAATATATATTTTATAAAAATTTATTATATTTTTATTTATAAAAATATTACATTTCTTTATCCTACTAAAAAAAATTCTAAATCCGCCACTATATTGTATAAAATAACTTAACTTCTCTTGCAAATTTTTACAATAATAATTTACAATAATTTCTCTCTTTTTTATTTAGTAAGAGATAAATACATAAAATCGTAAAAAAAATAATCAATGAATACATCAATAAAGTAAGAAAAAGATGTTTTAATATCACAAAATATTCAAATAAAAATAATTATTATTTAAGTAATATCATTTAATATTTAAATCACATATAAAAAAAATAATATTATCTAATATATTTTGGTCCCTTCAATTTTTATTTATTTATTTATTTGTTAGTTCCGCCACTGAAATTTTATTATGCGTCTGATTTTTTAACACAATCCTCCAAATCATGAACATGTCTTTATTTTGCAGGTTAGAGCGTGTTTAAACTACCAAATTCCCTGAAATGCTGATGATAATTGTGTGTTATCATACACTTCACTCAATTGTTTTTAAGTAACAGATTTTTAGAATTTTTTCTTATTTATATATCAATTTCAAAATTTAATATTTTTGGTTTGGTTCGAAATGGATAAAGAGAAAAAATTAGGTGTTAGTTCAAAATTTAATATAACATTGATTATGTTTTCTTTTTATAATTTTTTTTATCAATTAGTATATTCTTGTTTTGACCTAATTTTTAATTAGTTTAAATATTTATTATGAAAATGGAAATAAAAAACCAATATATATTTATTAAGATTCATAAAATTTATTGCATTTTTTCATACATAAAAACCTTAAAAGAGATATAAAAAGAAATAGTAAACATTTTTCAAGTGCAAAAATTACCATTCTGCTAAAGATTGTGTTTCCCTAACAAAAGGAGATTTAAAAATGGACAACTTCTTGAAGCTCAAATTTTAAAATGAACAATTAAATTAGCAATTTTTTTCAAGAGGATGTGTTTGATTTTCAAAGACATGGCTCCAAATCATGAACATTGCCATTAGTTTCTTTTGATTTGCGTGTGAATAAGTCACCGAATTCACAGCCAAAAAAAAAAAAAAGTCACCAAATCCACTAAAATGCTAGCAACAAGGGTGTGTTGTGATATAACATTTTTTCACGTGTAAAACATAAAATTATACAAAAGAATTTATTCCCTTAAAAAAAACAAAAGTTTAAATTAGGTAACACTCCAAGTAGAAATTTGAAATTTGGCCAATTAAATCGGCTTAAGAGGCATCTTATCTTAATCTTAATTGAATTTCTAAAAAAATCCTCCAAATCACAATATATTTTGGTACCAGTCTCATTACATTACCAAATTCAGTGGGTGTCTGCGCTGTGATTTTACATTCCTTAAGTACAAAAAAAACACCACCAGTATTATGTTAAACATTTTCTTCCCTTAAAGAAGGGAAATTTAAATTCCCAATCCCGTTGAAGCAGAAATTTGAAATGTGCAGAAATGGAAAATAATTTTCAAGTAAGTCGCAGGCACGCACGATCACGGTTGGGAGTTGCGAGTCGTTTGGCTGGCTAGCCGCAAACGACAGATCCAGTGACCGTTTGAATTCAAATTCAAACAACGCCCTAGTGATACTCCGATGGATCCCAACATCAAGCTTCTTCCTGGTCAGGGGGAGCCATTGGATGACCCAGAAAGATATCGTAGACTTGTTGGCAGACTTAACTATCTTACTGTCACCAGGCCAGACATCGCATTCCCAGTAAGTGTGGTAAGCCAATTCATTAACGATCCTCGTGATAGTCATTGGACTGCAGCAATGCGGATACTCAGATATATCAAGAAGGCACCAGGCCGAGGACTACTATACGAGGACAAAGGCAATTCCAAAATTGTCTGTTATTCAGATGCTGATTGGGCAGGATCACCATCAGATAGAAGGTCTACCTCTGGCTATTGTGTTCTAATTGGAGGCAACCTAATTTCATGGAAAAGCAAGAAGCAAACTACAGTTGCTAGATCCACTGCGAAAGCTGAATATCATGCTATGACAGCAGCTACAAGTGAAGTTACATGGCTACAACAACTTCTCAAGCAACTTCAAATTGGAGACACTCAGGGAACTAAACTCATCTGTGATAATGAAGCTGCTCTCCACATTGCCTCCAATCCAGTCTTCCATGAGCGGACTAAACACATAGAAATAGATTGTCATTTTGTAAGAGAGAAAGTGCTCTCAGGAGAAATCACCACTGAATTTGTCCACTCTAGTGACCAGTTAGCAGATGTGTTCACAAAATCTCTTAAAGGGCCTCGGGTTGATTATATTTGTAACAAGCTTGGCGCATATGATATATATGCTCCAGCTTGAGGGGGAGTGTAACAAATATTGTACAGATATTGTTGGATACATATATTATCCTCACTATCAATTAGGGATATGATTAGATTAGTTTCCATAATATAAGAGATTAGTATCTCTATCATTTATTGTATTCACTCTATAAATAAGATTGGTGTGTGTACAACAAGACACACAATTCCTGAATCACAACACAATGCAATCCCTTTATTTTCAGTATGGCTAGCTTTGATTTAAGAAACAAATTATAGAGCACAAGATAATTCCATTTTATATTTTATGTTAAATGCTAATAAATTAGTAGTGTATGAAAAGTGAAAGCAAAATCTACATTGAAACCTACAGGAAGGAGAACCCTATAAAAATATTATTTTTAAAGGATAGAACAGGTTGCAAATAAGTACCGACAACCACTACACATCTATGTTCTACCAAGTTTAAACAGAGGCTCTATAATTAGACAGTATGTTTATAAGGAAATGTCTCTCACCTGCAAATATGTGATTGCCCGGCGAAGATCTCCATGAGAAATAGAACTCAGGGTTGAAAGAGCCTATGGAAATAAAGGAACTTAAAATAATCCATGATGATGTCAACAAAAACTCTATAGACGAGAATTGAAACCAATAAGAATATCACTACATTACATAGGCCCTAAGGTTCCCACCTCAGCATCAAGAAACAGACCCTCTTCTTTGCAGATGTATGATATCCTGCTGCTCATGATTTCTTCTGATAATGGCTTGAACCTGAATTTTGCACACCTTGAAGCAAGTGGTTCTATAATCCTATGAAAAAGTTGACAACCATATACTGTATGAAGTCAATGTGCCACCTATCCTTGGAAAGCAATTGACAAGAACATAGGAAAAAGGCTCTCAAAATATTATTCTTTATTATTTTTCTGCAGACTTCACATGAGCCTTAGAAAGTTACCACTATAGTTCTCAGTATATTACAGAACTTTACATGCCAAAATTGATGAAAATCATGCTTATTATACAGGGTCATAAGTTGAAAATATAGCACTGCTATAGCAGTGTCACATTGTGAAGCATTTTTTGGCCATAGCAATTTATGGAGCAAATTGAGCACAAAGACATACATTGAAGAAAATTGTCAAGGAGGAATTTATGGTAAATAACATCTTTGAAACTTTGGTCTTTAACCAAGCCAATTACTGTCATTAAAATGTTGGGTTTGCCATATTGTAGTTAAAATGTCAGGAAGTGAGCAAAATTGGAGTACCTTCAAGCATCAAAGGTTGCAAGACTTTTTTTTATTAAGAATAACCAAACTCAAAAGGAACATTTGAATGTCATGATATGATGGATCCCATTCTCTTAAATGACATTGATAGTAATGACTAGTTATTAGGAGAATCGGGTGGAGATTATCAAGGTGTTGAAGATGAATTGGTTTTGAATGATGATACCTTAATTTAGGGACTTGTTGCTAATGCAATGCAAGTCAGGTTGGTGAGCAAACAAGATCAAAGAAGACAAATGCATTTGCTTCTAGACTTTCAAGCTTTAAGGGGTAAAAAAAGGAACTTGTTTGAAGAAGAGGAGGAAGAGCTTTACAAGAGTAAGGGTGAAAGCAAAAATTTGGAAAATGAGGTAAATATATTTTGGAGATGAAGATATCTAGTATTTGAATTTGACTACTTAGCCGCTTTAAGCCTTAGTGGCTTAAACTTAAGTGATTCCTTGATGTTTGTTGTCATTCATGTGCGTTCAGTTTTCAAATTCTAACTTTTGATCATTAATTATGAATGTCATTAATTTTAGGATTTTTTTTTTCAATTTTTCGGCATATATGTGTACAATAATTTATGTTGTGTCATGTTGTATCATAAAGCTTAAAAGTAGCAATCATCCTACAACCCGCTATAGCATCTGTGTAGTCAGTCACTCCATGCAACTATTTGGGATTGACTACTATGTTATCATGACAACTATAATTCTCATTAGCTCCTTAAAAGATATGAGATTAAAAATAGCAAATAAAACGGCATATTTTAGCATGGAAAACAAGGTACCTGCTAACATAGTTGCATATAAAAAAGAACCTTGTAACTTTAGAGTAAGTTTCCATTGTACGCCTCAGGGCATTCTGTACAGCAATTGCAGGTGGTGTGAAGCCATAACACTATTAGACAACTAGACAAACAACAATAGGAATGAAAATATAGCAAACATGCCTGAGCATCTTCGGTCATTGAATCTGCCTCATCTAGAACAATAATCTTAAATGGTGGACAAGGATAATCACTGAAATTCCAAAACACCAAAACAAAGAGGAAGTTATACAAATCTTATAAGCAAAGAAAGGAAGGGGGTAAAGTCCCGAAAGAGGATTAGATTTCACTTACCTTTTACGCTGATTAGTACCAACAGCCACAGCAGCAAAATCTTTTATCTTTGTCCGAACAACATTAATCCCTCTATCATCACTTGCATTCAGCTCCAGCACCCTAGACTTATAGAACTCTGGCCTGTAATTTGTGGTTGTTATAAATTATCAGTAATGGAATGGCAGTACAGGTAGGAGATGAATAAATGTGCTTGTAGTCCATGTGTCATCGTGCCTATTAGCACACAAGGTAGATTAAGGAAGATAACAGCAGCATCTTTTACTACCTATGAATCCCAAGTCTTAAAACAAACATAATTGACATTTTGTTAAATTAAGTTTTCAAAATGATCATCTAATGCATAACTATAGGTCTTCCATTCCTACCATTTGATCAAATAACTTTTCCAGTAAATTTATTACCATAAGTTGCTATACAAGTCACAAGTGGTAAACTTCGATAGTCCATGGATCTCTATGACTCGGCATGTCAAGAATTCAAAAGGTAAAATACACAACATATAACTTTCAGAAACCTGGTCATATAACTCTTATAACAATATTTGAGCTTAAAGTATTCCTTAAATCATATTTGCTTTCCTTTTTCCTCAACAAATGGTTTCATAATCTAATTGTACTGAAAAAGGCTTTATACAAACCAGGAAAAATGAAGCACTCGTGCCTTTGTTGTTCAAAAAAATTTTGTGGGAAAATGATGAAATGAGAGTGTGAAGTTAACTTTACAATAGTGGAATAGTTGTGTGTAATGTGTGTTAGTTGTAGGGTAAGAGTCCAGAAAATATGGACACCATAGCATCATATCGTCTCTATTAATTGTTATAAATATTTTCATGAGTGAAACAAACCATATACTAAAGTGACAGTTCATAGTACTTTGGCTTCCATTATGTAAAATGGCTATTTGGTTAGTTTTTACTCAGCAGCTTTGTATACTTTGCTTTGCATAAAAGCTAAAGCTGGTAGCTGTTAGAACTGCTTAAGGTGTCACAAGTCACAAGGCAAACTTAAGAAATTGGCGAAATAGCTACAAACACACAATAACTCTGCTAATTTGAAAATTAATATATATATATATATATATATATGCATACCCGAAAAGCTGATGGGCAATTGCAAGGGCAGTAGTTGTTTTTCCAGTGCCGGGTGGACCATAGAAGAGCATGTGGGGGCACTGCAATACAAGATCTATGTGATTCAACGAGGAAGAGGAAGACCAGAAGGGAAGGAGAAGGGATTTAAAAAGGGTCATTACACTTCCGGTTTCAAGGGTGTTTGTTAATACTCGAACAACTTCGTCTTGGTGAGCAACATCTTTCACTTGCTTTGGCCGGCTGGATTACAACAGGAAAAATTAGAATTGCATAAAATAAGATACAAAAAAGAATCGAAAATTGAAAGCATAAACATGTTACTATTTCTCGACCCATGGCTGAGAGCTCTGCAAGACTGGTGCCATCTATTCTCCCACACTATTAAAAAAATAAAAAGTTTAAATCAACATATATCAAGACTGTTACATATCAGGCAAATATCTTTATTAGGGGAGAACTTAAAACCAGACCCATTTTTGAGGAACTTGTTGCTAAGCCTACCCGATAGAAACTTGTAAGTTGTTTACAACCAAAATGGAAGCAGTACAATATGGATACACAAGATAGTGCATAGTATCAAGCAACCGTACAGGTGGAATCTAAAGTTTACACTATTTAAAGAAGAAGAAGAAAAAAAAAGTGAAACAGCAGTAAAAAAGATAGCATGAAGGAAACGGGTAGCGACAAGAAAATTCCATGACCTTCAATTGCACATTCTGAAATAGATGTGAAAACAAACACAGGGAGAGATAGAGGAAGGAGGAGTGTACAGAAATATATCAGTGAGCACGAACACCAACCTCAAACGAAAACAATGGGGTTTTCTAAAATAGCGGCTACCGCGGCCGCCTTAAGCGTCGCCGGTGTTGCGTCGTCGCCGGGTGGGGCGCGTGGCAGCGTTGTGTTGCAGCGGTGGGATCTGGTGGAAGACAGTGCAGCGACCAGGGTTCTGCGTGTTGTGTAGGTTGGGGTTGTGGTATTTGGCGCCTTCGGGGTTTCGTTCGACCTTGAAAATGTTGGAATTTTTTTTATTATTATTGTTGTTTATGTTGGGCTGACTTTGGTTTTGAAAATAAACTGAAGAGTCTAATAGCCTACAGATATCTTTTACTTTTTCATTCTATTTATTTTTATTCTTCGCAAAGAAAATTCATTTAGTTGGATTAAGAGTGAAATAATTTATTTTTAATAATTAATAGGATAAAACACTTTTATTTTTCTTTAGTTCTTAATTTGAAATTTTAGTTCTCCTATTTTTAATTATATAATTTGTTTGTTTAATTTTTAAAGACTTGTAATTTTAATCCAACCATTAAATTTGCATGCATTGGAAGATTAATTTCATAAAAGTTGTTAAGTAGAAAGTGATAATTTAATGATATTTAATGTTCTTGTGTTATTGTATACATGTGACTTAACAACTATTACCTTCAAAATTATGTATGCATTGTATATTAGATAACAAAATTACATATTAAAAATTAAATAATAATTAAAAATATAATTTAATCTAATTAATAAATATTAAAGTATGTTATAAATTATACAATGAATATGTTTAAACATACATTCAAACGGGTTAATCTAAT